CTACGACTACGACTACGACGACGACATATAGCTGACACCAATAACTACACTACGACTGCGACGACCACGACGACGACTACTGCTTATAATACTTGTTAGTATCCTTATCATATTCGTCATCTTCATCAGGACAATGCTGTCGACATGACGTTTGGACAACCCACCCACCTGAAATTGCGAAATGGCGGCTTCGGGACTATGTCCAAAGTGTCGCAGCAGCGCTTCTGCCACGGCAGTAGACGTCCCGGTTGCTTGCTGCACCTGGTGGAAGCTTGTGCAAGAAGAAGCTTCCTTGTCTGGTTGGGTTGCTACTACTCTGTCGCACCTTGCACCCTACACTTTGAAGCGTGAACTTACAATAGCTCTTGAACTTTACTTCCATCCACAACTGAAGCCCATACGCCAAGATGCTCTGAAGCCCTAGACCTCCGATGCTTCGCCGCAGAATCCCAAAGAGGCCATCCCGGCCTGCTCGACGTCTTCAAGGACTCGGCCCCGAATCTGCTGGGCATCTTGCAACCTGCCATGGGGAACAAGAGACGGCCCATAAAAGGTCTCAGGAATTTAGGGTTTACAGGGGTTCAGATGATCTACGCGGGTTTAGGTTCCGGGGCCAGGCTTTATCGAGCTCAGGGTTTCGGGCTTGGGGTCTCGGGATTAGGGCCGGTAGGGCTTATCGGCAGATTTACTGTATAGGAATAAGGGATATTGTGACCATACCGGGGACTATCGCGCTTGTTACACGGCCCATACAGTACTATAGATGTACTATATGTAAGTATATATACCTTGGGGTCAGGGCTGGGCCGAATTCTATGTGCTACTGTGAAGATCTATTAGGCCTCTCTTCTGTCTAAAAGCGACCAAGCAGCGCGGTGCCACAGTCATCCGCGAGCTTGCCTGCATAAGCCAAATTCCCGACAGCGCGTGCCAGCCACTGCGGCATGCCGCCGTAGAGAATGCGATCCAAGATTGCAGCATCTGCCGTCCTATCCATCATTGACTTGCAGCCCAGCTTTCCCAATTCGACTATGGCCTGCTCGTCACCACTTTCCAGTGCAAGATCCATGGCCGCTCGGTGTCCATCTGTTTGACCCAGGAGTAAAGCTGCCAAAGATTGTCGCGGAAGCCCACCTGACTGCCCCAAAGCAGAATCAACTAAGACTTCGTCCTCTGCACATGCAGAAAATATGAGAAAAGCATACGGTGTTTCAGGCATCCAATGTGCCAGCACAGGGACATGTGGGCCCCGGCGCAATGTGCAGCACGTCGCCAGGTTTTGCGATGCAGCTGTGAAGCAAGCCGCTTGCTGGTCGTCTCCGAAAATAGGCCTGGGACCCTCGGACCACGAAGCCGCCGTAGCCGTCCTGTAAGCAACGCTGCTGGCACCTCAACATGCATTTGAGGGCATGTCTCGTGGAATCTGTTTTCAGCGATTGGTTCAAAGCCTCTGGTCAAGACAAGCATGACAGCAGCACCTCAACAGTGGCTCGGCAGGCATGGAGTCCAGAAAGTCATCATCCTGCTCCGGGGCGTCACAACCCCGGAGCACCAGCCAAGGCCTCCAGGCGAGAGCGGTCAAGGTCTGCAAGACCTCCAGGGACATGAGGTAAAGTCTCCCTGAACTGCAAAAGATTGATCTTACAATTCCTGGTCTACAGGGGCGCTCTTTTTGCACAGTCGCTCGCGTCCTCTTGTGCTGATCTGCTTGACTGTTTGACTCTATGAAACATCACAGACAGCCGTGCCAACGCTCCGAAAGCTCTCCTATTTCTCCACCGCAGGTGCTGCTCTGGTTCGGGAAGGAGCAAGCAGGGCTTCCAGGACATCGTCCCAGTCCAACTGCACACAGCACTGGCGCAACCAGACACACCGCATTGGGTGGACTGGTGCTTGTACAGACAGGATACAGCGGTTTCGTTCACAAAATCATCTTCAGTGGCCGCCGACGAGGAGCCCACTGCAAGCCTTCATCTTCGGGCGGGAGGCGGACTTGACAAAGTGCGTGCAAGCAGGAGACTTGTCGTTGGTAATGCCTGAATAGCACAGCGGGAGGACTGCAGACTGTGATAGGCAGCTTGCTGCAGCTTGCTGCTCATTTCAGATTTCTTTCGTATGCTTCGAACACGTGTTGAGAGTTGAAAGATGCGGTAATCGGCAAGGCAAACTTTCAGCCACACCTACGCATTCTCTCGAGCAAGCTGCACTGGTTCATGCAATGGTCCCAGGAACAGCCCACCAACTGGGCACAGGACGCGCAGGAGCCGGAGTAGCCATGAGTAGCCTTTCTTCTGCATGCCGTCCTCATATCTGCGAGATTCTCATCGTATGGAGTGAAAGTAAGGCTACACCAGGTCAGCATCATGAATCGCCCATAGCACATGAACCGCAACCCTAACAGCGATCCAGAAACCAAATCCCCGGAACGGTTTGCACTCGTTTTCCTGGGCATATCCAGAACGGTCCTTGGTGCATGGGAAGCCAGCAGAGCAACCACGGCCGCAACTGTTGAGTGCGGCGTCAAAGCTCTTCTTGCCGCCGCTCTTCCAAGTCTTCATATCTGCAGCACCGGTGCAGCCGCCGCCCTCGACCTCAGCCTCTTCAACCACCTGCCCGGACTGCTCCTCGTCATCCGAAGCCTCCAGGTAGGGGACCTTGATGCCGTGCAGCTGGTGGAGCTCCAAGCTGCAATCCTGGCGGCTTCGCAGACGTCATCCGACGCCAAAGCTGTGGCCACATCCTCTCCGAAGGCACCCGCAAAGCTCAAGAACAGGAACATGGCTCGAAGAGCCATGGCCGGCAAGTGCGTGAAATCAGGCAAGGATTCTCGGAGCTACTTTGAATTGAGAGCACAGTCAGGCTCGCCAGAATGCAACTCCATACTGAGGCAAATGAAATACCCACAATGCTGCTTCGGGGTTAATTAGAAGCTTGCCCATGCATGGCTTACTGATCAAGCCTCTCATCACAAAAGGACTCTGAAGCCTGCAACAAATGTGATCCCTGCTGCATCGTCCCCCGAACTAGAGCGACCACCGCAGTGCCTCTGCACCACCCAGCGCGGCGCACCGATGGAAGGCGGTGGGCGCCATCAAACTGATCCTTTGATGTTCTTTAAACTTATTCTGACTACCCTGAGCGGACATGGAGCTGTAACAGCGGGCCCGAGGTCGCTCCTTTCACAGCCAGATGCAAGCCTTGAGAGAAGAAGCGGGAAAAAAACACTCAGCTCCAACACACCTCTTCGAGCAACGCCCGCTTTCAACTGTGACCCTGAGCGAGCAAGTCTTTCATTGTATGTAGCTTACTAGTATGTAACTGTATGTACACTACTACGGGAAGGGTGCATTCAGGATGTCGGGCAGTAACGTTTGTGAACACGAAACGTCGCCTGCACAAGCGGTTCGTGGGCTTCGAGAAGGCAGGAAAACGGCAAGGAGATCGAAAGTAATATAAAGAAAGCAGAAAACCGGCGAAGAGTGACAGAAGGAGGAGCTGCGCGCATGGAACCCCGACCGAAATCTCACTGACAACAATCAGAGGCTCATGTCGAGTGGGTCGCCGGGCTCCGGCGGCAAGATTAGATGAAAGGTCTCTTCCAACCTCGGAGATGAGGCTTCCATGGTCGGATGCAGGGGTCGCAAGGTTAAGATTGAGGCGTTCAGGTCGAGGATGTCTTCCTCTGCAACATAGACCCTGAACGTATCCCGCGCTTAGCCGGATCTGGACAGGGATTACAGCTACCCCAACAGCCCAGGCAGGCGCACCAAGCCCTAAACCAATTTCCCGACAGGCCATGTGAGACCGATCATGGTAAGTTCTAACTTCCTACACGGTTTTACACGCACTGACAATCGCCACGGCCTCAACTTGCAGCCTGCACTATAATTTCTATAATTAAGCTTCATGCAAAAACCCGCAGTAACAAGTACAGCACCTCTTGCGCTAAGCACAGACCATAAGCCGGCATTGCACCCTAAACTATCCTGAACTTATCCGGACCAATCCAAGCCGAGACTCTGCCGTCGCAGTGCGCACCCGTGGATGCTGTCGCCGAGGAGCCGGCGCAGTAGAACTGCCCGGCGCCTTTCGGGTCCCCGCTTTTTGTCACTGGCCGGGGCTTCAGAAAGTCGGGATTGGGGTGTCTGATGCCACTTGATTACTTCAGGGCTCTTAGCTCTCTTAGGATCGACACATCCGAGCCCTGCAAGAACCTTCTATAAATAACTCCGTTGTAGGATCCAGGAGAAGCTGCCCTTGACGACGGTTCCAACCTATAGAAGATATAGAAGCCGGTCGCTGCCGCTACAGGCACTTCCCCGCCGATGCCACCTGGCCGAAGCTGCAGCGCGCCGTCGCAGCCGTGGTGTAGGGCGCAGGCCGTGCCGCAACAGGAGCCCTGAAATGGTGATTGAGGTGGGGTCGAAACGTTAGATGGTGATACAAGTAGCCCTGGAACTAGTCTGAGGCTTGCAACTTAACGCTTTGCACGGGGTTTCGGAACCAGGTGGCAGTGGTTTGACTCGGCGATTCCAAAAAGGTGAAAGTTCCTCGTGATAGTCTTTGACAGTGGTATCTGCAATGTTAGCAGTCAAACTGACCTAAACGAGCTTGCTGATTTTTCGACAGCACTCACTTAAAAGGGCGTGGTTTGAACGCTATAGGCGCGCCAGTACGTCCTTAAGGTTTAATTGCTGCGCTGACTCGGGGGCTTTGCAAATTAGCAATCCTTGGCTCAGGACGTCGAAAGGTGCCGTCACCACGCATCCAGAAAATACTTGACTTGGACTAACTACGTAGCACCTCCAAACATGAAACAGACACCCCCAGTCCGTCCAGGGCCGTCCTTGGCAAATGTAGTCCAATGCTTGGCCATCGAAGCCGTTTTCATGATCCTTCGCAAGATCATCCAGTACATCACAGTATGGTACGATATGACATGAACATAGACTGATGCAATCACAATCGTGATGAAAGAAGAACTTTAAGCATATCTTCAATGCGCTGCACCATCACGGACTCCTGATGATGATAGCCCCTCCTCAAGGCACCTTCATCACATTCATCATCATCAACATGATCATCGTCATTATCGTCATCGTCATCGCCGTCATCATCAACATCACCACTATCATCGTCGTAGTCGTCAATGTTGCCATCACAGTCCAATCATCTAAATCTTCAGAAAACATCAAATCACAGCCGATATCAACGAAAACAACAAACATCCTCTCGACAGCCGAACCGCAGTGGTCATGTACAGAACTGTTAATGAGCACTTGTTATTCCCTTCAAATGGTAGGAGTGCTATCGGCCGGTGCTGAATCAAGATTAATTAGTAAGCATGTCAACAGCCGTTATCATGCGAACATAACCACGCCATCTAACCCCACAAGAGAACCGCTCTGCCAAGCCACATCGGGATATCTTCGCTCCAGGTTTGCAGGGCCTGTTCGGCTCCAGCCAAGGCAATGCGGCACCAACTCAGGATGTAGCATCTCCAACACCATCCTTGAGACAGGCTCAGAAAGCGGAAGACGACGAGGACGACCCTTGAAGAAAAGGCTCGTAGACACGGCTTCCAACTAAATCCATCAGTATTCGGTATGACCACATATAATATTCCTCTTCACTTCTGACCATCATGACAAGCATTTGACGAACAAACAAAGCTTAGCTATCACAGGCGCCATCACCATAACATCGTCATCTTCGTTGCCGCCCAGCCGTTACTGCGGAATCTGACATGCAACCAATACAGAAGAATGGCTTGCCAATCCAAAAACATAACATCTGCACAGCAAACAAACACAGTAGTCCTGTCTGCCATGTTCGTTGTCGTCAACATAAGACTGCCTGCACATTCACAGCTATCAGTACGGTTCAAGCACATTGCTGCGTGCTATGCCCGTCGATATGCTGAGATTCAGCCAGGTGGCGGTTCGTCACCACTGATTATTGCCGATCGCAGCAACGCGTCGGAGGCGACGATCTGCATGTTGAGGGTAGGCGTTTTGGTTGACGGCTCTTTTCCACCGATATCTGCCCATCGTTTGTTTGATGAGAGGACTTGCAGACTGTTAATCTGAGTATTCTCCAACAGCGGATACGCTAATGGGGTCTACATGTCTACACGGAATACGGGCTTCCGACAGCGTATAAGGGCGACTGTGGAAACTTGAACTGGCGTCCGGCAAAAAAAACATCTTGGGGCGGCGCGAGATTGCCACAGTCTTTTCACATGAACAACGTTGAGATCCAAGCATGCTCGCCGCGGCAATCTTTTTACATGAACATTTTCTTTGCGCACGGCAAGAGGAGCAAGTGTGCTCGCAGCCTGAGAATGCAGGAGCCAATCTTGCCTCATGAAAATATGTTCTTTAACACGGAGAGAGATCTACGTGCACTCGCGGCGTGACAACGCAGCAGTATAGTCTTTTCGCATGAACATGTCTCTGCCAATTTTCACCGTTGCTGGCATTATCTTGGGTGGTAAATGCCATGTCGTGAAGGCCCCGGCCCGCCCAAAGCGGGAGCCTAAAACGCAGCGGCCATCTTTCCTATGCTGCTGCCTTCGCATGGCAGTCGCCAGGCTTAGCATAAAAGTCGCTATAAACCCCAATGCGGGGGCTGCAGAGCGCTTGGCGTGTTTTGCAGGGTTTCAGGTGGGTTTGGGGTGAGCTTAGGGCTGCTCTGGGATGATGTTTAGAAATAAGAGCATTTCGATTCTTGCAGACGCGGCAGTACAAAGACCAGTGAGAAACAAGAGCGAACCGCTCGAACAGGACCAGAGTATTCGAGAAACAGGAGCCATCGCTCCATAGGGATTAGAGTATTTGAGTAGAGCGTTCGAAGAAAAACGAAAACGCTTGAAAGGCACTCGAGCTTTCGAAGAGCAAACCGATCGCAAGGTACTAGGGCATTTGACAAGCGGGAGCAATCCGCTCGAAAGGGACTTCAGTAGTACTGGAGAAACAAGGGCAAACCGCTCCAAGAACGTAAGATGTCTGGTATACAATTACAAACCGATCGGAAAAGATTTAAAGCATTTGAGAAACCAGAACAAGTTCGGTCGAAAGGAACTAGACTATTTGAGAAACATGCGCAACGCTTGAAAGAGCCATTTCAGAAAAAGGGAGCGAACCGCCTTACAAAGCAGAGACAAAAAATGATTGAGAAACCGGAGCAAACCGCTTGAAAGGGATCCGAGCTTTCGAAAAACAGGAGCAAACTGCAGGAAAGGCACCTGGGCGTTTGAGAAACGGGAACAATCCGCTCGAAAGGGACTTCAATAGTTCTGGAGGAACAAGAGCAATTCGATCGAAAGGGACTCGGGCGTTTGAGAAGCAGGGAGTACACCGCTCGCACGGGACTAGAGTGTTTGAAGCACAAGAGCAACCCTTGCGAAGGGACTAGAGCATTCGAGAAAGAGGGAGCAAGCCGCCTGAAAGGGAGAGACAGAAGACAACCTTTCGAAAAGAACTAGATTTAGAGACTTTGCCAAACAGGGGCAAACAGCTGGAAAGGCACTCGCGTATCCGAGAAACACGGAGCAAACCGCTAAAAACGGGTCAGAGTAGTTGAGAAACAAAAGCAAACCGCTTGAAAAGGACTAGGGTATTTAAGAAAGGAAATACTAGATACTAGTGCCTAATATAATGCTTGAAAAACAGAAGCACAGCACTTGAAAGGGATTAAAGTTTTCGAGAAACAGCCGCAGAGTGCTCAAAAGCGACGACTGTCATGTTGAAAAGGGAGCAAACCGTTCAACAAAAACTACAGCAGTTCAGAGGAGCAAACCGCTCGAAAGGCACCACATCGCTCGAAAGGGAGTGAAGCGATTGAGAAACAGGAACAAACCGCCCGAAAGGAACCACAGTCTTTGAGAAGCAGCAACAAGCCGATCAAAAAATGCCAGAGTAATTTGGAAAAAGGGAGCAAACCGCCCGAAAGGAACCAGAATAGCTGCGAAACAGGAGCAAGCCGACAGAAATGAGAAATGGAGGCAAACCGCATAACAAGGACAAGAGTAGATGAGAAACAGGAAACAGCAGCGAAAAAGCCAAGGATACCGGCGAGTGCATTACAGTGTGTAATAAACGTTTAGCGCACCTGGAAGGGGTAGCTGAGGACTGGGCATGTGCAGGTTTTCAATGCCCTTCAGAAATCTAATCCGTAGTCAACAGCTCGGACTGCGCAAACCCAAGACAAGGAACCTTGGGACTGCCGTCCTACCTACACTAGGACCGCTTCCAGCGTGTGCCTGAACATATGCCTTAAACCTGGAAGTTTTCCTTCAATGCTGCACCGAGACCGAAGCACTAACCCAAGAGGGGACCGGATCAATGACCACTCATCCAACCAAATCCGCAAAACAACCAAGGCACTGTTTGGCGAAACGGTCGTAGCTTGGCAAAAATGCGGCGACCCCAGCGACGAATGGAAACATGACCTGCAGGGTAGTCGTCATCGGAACAGGTCACGACCAAACTAAAGCAGTAGCAGCAAAGCAATGCCAGAGCTCCAATCACAGACGACATGGAGATAGCGGTGCTGTCCATGAACAAAACAACAAGGAGCATCGCCCCGGAACCCGAAACATCAAATGCAGCGAGAGAGATCGTTGAGTCTTCGACCTTCGTACATAGATTTCAGTTTTCAAACGTGCACCCTGCATATTCAACATTCGTCGTCATCAACCCTGGCCGTCAGCTGACAGGGCTAGACCCTTAAACCTCACCTCCGAAATGCTGCAAGGCATACTTATTCAGAGTAAGTGTTTTGGGGTGTAGGGAATTCCCTCGGGTAGCCTTCACACTTGCGGCTGCCTGTATCGTTCTTTTCGTGAATAAGGGGTCAGCTTCGTGGTGGTCCGTGCATATAACCAGCATGCTGCGAGTTGAGGAGGCTTTGAACTGCATTGGGGACCACTTCTCTTCGAAGGTTATTAGGCGCGAAAACCTAGAGTTCAAAGGAAATGAAATCCAGGCTGGGACTGGAATAGTCTGGCCCAGAGTTTGGGTCTCGAATCCTAAATTACGCGAGACCTCGACTAACGCTCAAGCCTCACCTTTCCATCTATCCCGGAACTCTAAAAAATGTCAGGCCTTTGAAACTGCAACCACATTCCATCAGCACGTAAACTCTCAGCCTATAAACCGTCTAATGCTGGGCGCCAGTCCTGAACCGTACAGCCTCTGCACTCTGCACCCTGAAAGCTTAATGACGTTGAACCGAGACCGCCTAAACGCTTCTGAAGCCTTAGCCTTAACGCCCTGAAGCCCATAGATTCAATAAGCAAACCCTTCTCTTAGCCAGGGTGCGCTCGCTACCTGCTGGCCGCCTGGTCGGAGGCTCGATGACCTAGCCGGATAAGAGCAATTGGCCGCTTTTGCATGCGGCGGCGTTGTAGAGTCATACAAGGAATGATGTATATATAGAGCGAGCGAGAGAGAGAGAGAGTGAGAGAGAGAGAGAGAGAGACACCGAGAGACCGAGAGGGAGAGGGAAAGGGAGAGGGAGGGAGAGAGAGAGAGATAGAGAGAGAGAGAGAGAGAAAGAGAGAGAGAGAGAGAGAGAGAGAGAAGAAAAAAAGAGACAGAGAGCGAGGGAGAGAGGGAGAGAGAGAGTGCCCCCTCCAGAAGCCGAATCGGTTACGGTAATTGCGTGCTCCCGCCGCAGTGTCGTGCGTTTCTGAGCGCGGCCAAGGATTCCGCCTTCAGAAAAATCAAGTTCCCGCCGCAGCCCCGTGCAAATTCAATAGGTTCTAAGACACTAAGCAAGACCAGCGTAAACAACCCTCCAGGAACCTGACTGACCTGAGTGCTCTGGTCCACCCGACTTGTGTCGTCCATTGAACCTGTTACCAGTATTCGTGGCTTGTAAAAACAGCCCCACAATTTCAGGCTCGCTTGGCTGTGGTCGTCCCTCTTTGAATACGTGCTATGTCCTGGATACATGTTTCCTTCTAAACTACACATCCCTGCGACATCGCAGGCCACACACCCACACGGAGGCGATCACCTTGAAGAAACCTTCAGTACCCGGCACGTATTTACGATGTCAACAGTGCCAAGATTTCAATTAGTGAGGCTTAAAGGTTGGGAGAGCATGTCTATATACAATAAATGCGAGAGTTTACTGGCATATTCCGGTGTAAAAAAAACAAATTCGTTGCCGCAGCCTCAGTATCCGGCACATATATTCACTTATCACATTTCAAGCAGTAAAGCTTGAAGGGAAGTAGGGCGTCTATACGTGGTTGCGCCCCGGCAGGCACCCCCCCCCCCTCCCCCCCTCCCCCCCATGGTTCAGTTTATATACA